TGAGGACACCAAAGCTATGTTGAAATACTAAGAGAAGCAAATGCACCTGAATGTAAATCAAACGGATATGGATTTTACTTAAAGATAATACTAAGAACACATACACACACATGCACACAGAGAGATAACATAGGGATATCTCTCTAGCTAGCCATCTATCTCTTCTGAAAAGGCCCACAAATGATAACATTAGAGTAGCAATTAGCACACATAACCCCAGATCTTTATATCTAAATACTGTAATCCAGTAGAAAAAACTCATTGGAGAAATGATTGATTACAGTTAGGAGGTAGGGGAAGTAAAAGGATCTCAGAACATGTGATTGTGCAGAAAACAAGGAAGTGCTCAAAGACCAATGTAATCATTTCCAAAGAATAGAGGTGTTGGTTTGAAGGAGTGCCCAATAACCAAATTGTGACAATTTTAACATCATAAAGAATAACAACAATCATGGAATGTAATATATTACATTAAACATGGTTAAGTATGTAGTGATATGAAGAGGATGGAGAGCAAGGATGAGAGTGAACACAGGCAAGGGGAAATAGTTTTCTTCACAGAAGAATGCTACCTGATAAATACAAAAGTGATATTAGAATTAGAAAATCACTTTGAAATGATAATTTATTAAGGGAAAGGTTATGAATGGATGCTAAACCTATGAAGTGAAAAGTTAATGGAGAAGAAGATGCTCACATAATGTGCAAGTATTATCCCACTTTTAATTAAAAGGCAAAATGTATTTTTCAATGCATATGTCACAGTTACCATGTAAACAGCATTGTCATGAGTGGGAAGATGTGTAATGGTATTCTTCCTAATATGAAGCAGAAGAGGTATCCAATATCACCTGTGTAATATTCTTGCCAAAAATATTTAGCCTAAATTAAAGCATAAGAAAACAATCAGACAAATCCAAAATGCTGGACATTCTATAAGACCAATGGACCAAGAGTCTAAAAAATGGTTAATATTATAGAAATCAAAAAAGATAAATGTTTTTCTTTAAGAGAGATTAAAGAGATGATAACCCAAAATATGTAAATATTTACTAAGACATCTATTTTATCTAAATATATAAATGTATATATTTATATGTCTAAATGTAAAATATACACACACACACACACACATACATATATATGGTTACTTGGGGCTATTGTGGAAATTAGGGTATAGACTGTATGTTTAGATGATATTAACATAAATATTCTTATGTGTTATTTGCTTACATGTGGAAATCATCTTAATCTTGAGAGATGTATATTGAAGTATTTAGGCAAAAATATACTGATGTTTGCAACTTACTTTTAAATGATTCAGCCAACAACGAAAGAGGGAGGGCAAATATTCAACGTGTTGATATAAGATGGTGAATCCAGGTAATGATCTCATGGGTGTTTATGTAGTATTCACTCAACCTTTCTGTAGGCTTGAACATTTTCTCAATAAAAAGAAAACAAATGTGGTACCATTTCATACTCATTAGATTGACCAAAAATTAAATAATCTGATGAAATTAACTGCCAGTAAGGAAGCGGCAAGGATGAGCAGCAATGGGAACTCACATTGCAGTAGACTATAAGTAGGGGAAACTTTGGAAAATACTTTGTCACTATCTAGTTAAGTAGAAGACATGTTTACTAATGACCAATCCCACTTCTTGGCGCTTGTCTCAAGAAAATCCTGCCATGTGCATCACGAGACCTTGATAAAACTGTTCATAGGCGACTTGTTTTTAAGAACTAAAATTTGGAAATGCTCAAATGTCAATAAAACATAAATTATGCTATATTCACATAAAATACGACATAGTGGTGGAAACCAACTATGGCTGCAAACATCAACATAAATTAATCTCAGAAATAAATTCTTGTGTGAAAATAGCAAACCATAACATGATGCAATGGTGTAAAGGTTAAAAGTATACAATAGCGTTTATTTACAATAAAATTTGTTGTGAAATATTTCACCTAAAGCTGTCCAAACTGTAGTTGTCGGCCATTTAGATGAGTGTTACCAAAGTCCTGTGTCTTCACTGAATGCCAAGATGACACCCTGTGTCAAAGTGTTGCACAGGCGATCATCACCTAGAGGTGTCTTCTAATGCTTTTCCCACAGTAATGGAGAAAAGGCACTCTCCTACCCGGATCAATGTTTACATGAATGTGTGTGCATTCTGGAGAATGAAAACAAGAAACTGAGTGTTAGCTGCGAATTGCAGAATTAAAAGTGATACAGGTAGTTGGTATTTTTGTGTTGACCAGAAAGATGCTGTTTAAATAAAAAAAAGAAAATCAATATTTTCTATTTCTTTGCAGAGTAAAAGTGAGCAAATTACCGTGCGGCATCTGACATCAGGAAACTGGGAAGTGATAAAGATCTTGGCATACGATGAAACTACTCAAAAAATGTGAGCATTCTGGTTCTCTAGTCAGGTTGGTAGTCGCAGTTGTCAAATGCAATCTTTCGGCCAGATTGATGTTTTGCTTACCGTGGTCCTAGTCCAGACACCTCGGCCATGGAAACAGCAACATTCTCTTTAAAGACTCTCCCTACCCTTCACCCAGAGAGACACTTGCACACACACATTTACACAGATACGTACACACTTAGACTGAGAGAGATCACAGAGAAGTGTGATATGATGATATTTTAAGAACAAAAAGATGTGTTTCCCAAACGGATCAAAGTTCGGTGGTTGAATGAGAGAACAGGCCGGAGCTCGAAGATTCAAGTGAAATCTCAGCGTGGCAAAAATTGATCTGTGCCTGATGTGTGTGTTTTCTCTTTCCTGGGCAGTTACTTTCTGAGCACTGAGTCTTCGCCCAGAGGGAGGCAGCTGTACAGGTAAGCAAGGTGCAAAGACTTGGATGCACAGGTTGATTTCTCAGTGGCCATCTACACACCTTAAGGATAGGATGGAAAACTCTGTAGTTTCATTTTTGACATGATGGAACCTCACGCTCTTGGTCCAGTCTCTCACGTCTGGACCTTTGCAAGCCTGAACGTTGGGACCTGACGTGAAGACCATCCAGCTGCTCCTTTTGTAATTTTTTTCATCACCTGCTTTTACAGTCTCAAAGTGTCTTTTTTTTTTTTTTTTTTTTTTTTTTTTTTTTTTTTTTTTTTTTTTTTTTTTTTTTTTAAGGCTTGCATTTCTCAACTACCCATCTCACGGGAGTTTATGTATTTTCCTGAGTGGACTTTTCTTCTGCTAAGACTCATTTTGAATTTTCAGTGCATTTATATTGTACACCGGTAATTTATTCCCAAAGTAAAACCATTGTGAACACTTAGAAGAGTAGATCAAGGGGAAGTTTTTCTCCCCTGCCCCCATGATGTGCAAAACCTGGCAAGATTATTATTTGAGCCAGTAACACTCACTGCTTAGTAAAATAAAGCATTAGATGGGGAATGTTCTCATCTGCCCAATTTTCCCAGATGGAAAGTTATATTCATAAAAGATGCTTAAGGTCATACCTATTTAGTATTAAAATGTCTCCTTACTCAGAAAGCTTTCACCAGGACCTCATAAGAATGACTTTTATTTTTGTCTGGCAAGCAACTTATTAATTCTAGACTTTATATAAACTTTCAAATTTCCATTTCACAGATTCATTTTTAAAGTGTCAAAACTGCCATGGCATATTCTCAATGGAAATTCATCATGTTTGAAGAAGTGTCACCACTGATTCTTACCGAGTAGCCTACACTTTCCTTTGAGAGTAAAAATGCATGTTTAAAGCACCCTAAACTCCCTCTAATACACTGCACACTCTTATTTATGCATAAATTGCTTTCATCTGAAGCGTCTATTTTTATCACCTCTCTCAATAGGTGATTTTTGGATTCTTTGTTTTATGGGGTTTTTGTTTTGTGTTTCTCTTGAGTCTGAAACCCACAGTCTCAATTCTAATGACTTCCAAGGGAAGGACAGCTGTTTATGTAAAGAGACTGATGCTTGTGTTGGTTTAGAGATCTTGATGAACGTAGTGGTCACTTTGTGCTTTTTGGTGACCTGAAGCTTATCTTGAAGCGTATACTCCAGTTGATGCTGGCAGTTGTGAACAATTTAAGGTTGTGGAACTAGTATATCTAAGTGTTATCTCTCTCATTTTATGAAACTCTTAAAGAAAAATCAGTGTCAAAAGATTAGACTAGGCCCATTTCAGCCAATGGAACTATCTCAATCTCTCTTCCCAATATGATTAGCCTAAAATGTGATCTGAATCAAAATGACTTCTTAGATTTGTGTGCTTGTCTTTGTTCTCTAGTGACTGAGGCAGCAGTCTATCTATGAACGGTACTAGTGGAGCAGGCCATGTTATAAAGGAAATATAGTACCAATAAATTTCCCCTTAAGTAGCTCAGCAAATGCCAGTTGGCTTGACTGTAAGATAACGTTACTGTTTAACTCAGAAAACTCAATCACTGTCTTACTCAGGTCATAAAAATAATCATTGGTTGACTAAATTTATGGGATGAGATATACCCGTGAAGAATCACAGATGCTGCCATAGTCAGTGTTAGAATGAATGTTGTCTCAAAATGTGCATTTCTTTATTTCAATAGATTATCATAATTTAGACTATGATCTAAGTAATGATAAATACTAACATAAATCTCTGAGGAACTTGAATCTGAAAAGTTATATGAAGGAGGAGAGAGGGAAAGGGTTTAAATCCTAGTTATGTCCTTTCACTAGGCACGCATTCTTCTCTGTGGAGTGCTGCACAACATTGTGACTATAATTAAAGACACTGAATTTTATACTTAAAAATGATTAAAATGGAAAGTGCTATGGTGTAGGTGTATTTGGATGTATATACACACATAGAGCAATTTCAAAGAGAAAAAATAAGGTATGATTACCTTGCAAGTTATCGTTAGGGTGAAATGCCCTAATGTATTAAGTGCTTCGTGTGTATATTGATCGGTTAGGCCAGTAAAGGAAAAGTTGGATTCTAATGAGCTCAGAATGTTTCAAATGTGAAATTTTGAGTTCATGAACGATACTTAACATCTATTCTCAATGGCTTCTGGTGCCCACGCCAATATTCCTGTACCCATCCCCGTGCCTACAGCATACTGCACATCAAAATGACTATCATTCATTTACAAATGCATATCCAGAATCATGTTTCAGTATTTTCTCCAAGTATAAGATGAAGCTTCACCAGCATTTCCAACTGTCAGAATAATCTATGATACATCTCTCTTTATAAAATATTCTACATAGGAAATTTAACCTTGGGTAAATATCTCAATCCCTCTGACCTTAAGCATCATTGTTTGTGAAATAGAGAGATGATGACTTGTCTCTTTACCTACCTCCCTGATGTCTCAAAGTATGCATGATCATGAAGATTATATTATCGCACAAAACATAATTTTCCTTGACCAAAAATTTCAGGGCAAGTGTTAAGTGCCAGTATTTCCCATGTATCTATTTAGTGGGAAAATTTGACAGATAACCAAATTCTAATGTTTAGAATTCTGAATTCAGGAAATCATGAGATTGATTCTTTGTGTGACTTGTGAAAACTTTCATTAGTTCTTTCAACTAATATTTATTGATGGTGACTTTATTCTAGTCTCTGTGGGCACTTCCTTTTAAAACTTTACAAAGAAATATCTATGGAGAAAAGGCAGATAAGAATAAGTTATATTGAGTCCTGTGGAAATCAGTTCCTTTATTTTAGAAGCATGTATATATACTTTAATATACATATAAGCATAGATTTTAATTTTATCACAGAGAAGAAAACTGTGTCTCTTAACCTTAGTAATGGAAATTGACTTTGTGTTTATATGGTAAGTCCTAATTGACAAGGAGCCTCAATATAAGCAGTGCTGTAGCTCCTGAGTTTATGTTAATGTTTAAATATATGCCACATATTCACGTACCTGGAATGGTACCATTTCTAATTTTCTTTTTCTTTCCCCAGTGCTTCTACTGAAGGATTACTGAATCGTCAATGCATTTCATGTAATTTCATGAAAGAACAATGTACATATTTTGGTGCCAGTTTTAGTCCTATGAATCAACATTTCCTATTATTCTGTAAAGGTAATAAATTATTTTATTTGATCAGTATCTATTACCATCACAAGTAACTATTACTCTCTAGCTATATGATTTGATACTCTAAATTTGTTTGTAATAAATTATGAATTTACTGAGATAAAAATTGCATCTTCATGTAGAAAACATAATTGGGAGTCAACATTTACTCGTGACCACTAAGGGCTGTTTGAACGTGAACTGTTTAAAAAAGTGAACAAGCATATTTACATCAGCAAAGTCCTGCTACAGCAATAAAGTAATTTACCTAGTCTTTAGGG